TTTAGATTTTTTTGTCCAATTATCTACTTACTGAGTCAAAAATTTTGGCATAAATTGTGTTAGATTTGGACAAAATTTGAAGGTGGAATATATTAATTCTGCCACCTTTAGGTCTTTCCATCAATTGGTGGCTCTTTGGCCACATCGCCTAGATCAAATAGTAGATTTGCGACCTACTATTTAGCTGAACAGTGGATTTGCATCTATTTTTGTACGTTGCAGTGGTGGCAGTGCCACCTTAGTCTCCACCAGCTTGGCGGCTCTCCAGCAATCTTCGTACAAAAATGATGATAGATTTGTAATTACTTGACTAAGTCGAACATTTTGGTGTAAATGCTGAATTTAGATATGTTTTGCAAGTTTATAATGGTGGTTGGGGATGCGTCACGATTTGGGTCTTCACCCAATTGGCAGCTCCCTACCCATTTTCATGAAAAATTAATGCTAGATTCGTGATCTAATATCTTAATCAAATATTTTGATATAAATTTTGTTGAATTTGTATTAGTAGTGTTGTCATCGTCTCTTGTCAAAATAACTGTATTTCGCCCCTTTTTAGATAAAATCGGTCTCGGCAAGTTCTGCAGACAAAAATAAGTCCAATGATTTATTTTGCCGACAGAAAGCTCCATCAAGGTGGCAGTCAGCAGTGTTGCGTAGCATCGCCGGTACTGTGGTGTTATGGAACTTTTTTTTTTTGAAAATTAGACATTCTTCATGGACTAAGTTGCAATTAACGTTTGAGTTGTCAAATTATTAGGGGCGTTGGTTATTTGTTTTGGCGCACCCACTCCAATAATTTATAATTAATAAAAAGTGGACAATTCCCCAAAATGAATTTTAAAAAGCTTAAATCTTGCGTTTGAATTTCCAAACTTTTCATTCCTATATTCATAGTTCTTCCAATCGTTTTTTTGTATATTAGTGCAACGAAAGTTTCAAATTTTGTCTTAATTAAATAATTAGATAGTGGAATATTTCATTAAAATTAACTAAGAATATAGGGATTCAGTTAGTATGTGAAATTCTACTTTGGAATGGGTAAAATTGAAAAGAAACAAAAGTATGACAAGTTACAATAAGAAAGTAAATAATGTGAGTTCACAAAAAAAAAAAAAATCAAGTTTAGTGGTTTAGCGGAAAAAAATATTTTTTAAGCGATAAAACACTTGTCAAACCCTGTGTACCAATAATAAGAAAGCAAATGTAATTCTATGTTTTCAGAACCGGACCGGGTATCGACTCGGTCAAACTCAGGGGTCAGGAGTTAATGGGTTCAACCGGCTTCGATAGGGGTTGAACCGGATGACGTCATAAATAAAATTTATTTAAAATTTAAAATATTATATGTAAAATATCTAATAACATGTTTTTATTAATAAAGGTATATTCATAAATATTTAATGTTTTAAATATATTTAACAAGAAAATACAAAGAAATTAGAACAATCAAGTAACAATTTATATTATTTAATGAGCATTAACAAGTTTAGAATTAAAATTATGGACTTAATTGAAAAATAATACCAAACTTTAAGAAAATATTGATAAAGTATGAAATATTTGAGGTATATTAATAATTTTAACAATTTAGGGGTCAAAACATAATATTGAAAAATTTTGAGTTTTTTTTTTTGAAAAAACTATTTGAACCGGAAAATCCGGTTTTTTCCGGTCAAATCCGATTTTTGACCGGATTTGACCGGGTTTTTACTTATCCGGTTTCGAAGCATAACTCGGACCGGACACTTGGCCGGTTCTCGTTCGATCGGTCGAACCGGCCGGTCCAGTCCAAGTCTGAAAACACAGATGTAATTGTCCTTTTACTTTGACCTTCCCTCCATTCTCTACATTCTATCTACCCCAATTGCCAAATATAGGGTTTAAATCTTAAATGTGACAACAAAAAAAAACTTTGAAAACCCTCCCACAACCCTTAGTGCAACCCCAATCAATGTGTATAAAAAGTTATAGGGATAAGATCACATACGCGAAAAGAAATAAAAAAATGCACAAAAATTAAATTTGATCTAAGAGGAAAGAGCGGTTCTTAAGTTCTTAAAATATTTGTGTTCGAAGTAAAAAGTTATTCTCTAGGTACATATGACGACTAAGATGAGGAATATCCTTTTTATTTTATTTCTCTTTCATCAATTTGCCTCGGTGGTTGTTCATTATTTCCTCTCTTTCGCTCTCCTTCAAAAAATAAAAAAAGGCAGGCCGCGGATGCAGCCCTATCATGTGAAGTTGAAGTGGAAGCATCATCTATGTTATTTGACAAATGAATATTTTACATGTTTTAAGTGTATTTTATTGGTTAATTTTGGTGTGTTTTAGTCATGTTTTTAGCTAATTAACTAAGTTTCTAGTGAAAATATGCATTTTATGATTTAAGTGATAAAAATTGCATTTCTATGGATTTTTATGGTAAAAACTTCATGTTTTTGTAGGTTTAAAAATTCAATCATCAAATAGAGTGACTTGAGAAGATAATTGGATGATTGATGATAGTTTGAAGTGGTTCAAAGAGACTATGAGGTGCAAAAGAGGAAATGCAATAAAAAACAAAAGGAAGCAAGTTTAACAGCTTTGACACATTGTGGTATTTCAGCTATATCTTGAGTTATACGTGTCGGATTGAGATGATTCTTAAACCATTTTGAAGCTAAGATATATATCTACATTTGGTATGAGATATTGAAGTCCAGTTCAGCCATTTTCATTGTCAAAAAGTGAAAATACAAAAGTGCAACTCTATTATCAAAAGCTGAAAATAGAGCTCTGACCAGTTGATGGTATTTTGGTTATATCTCGGTCTACAGAGCTCTAAATTGGATGATTCATAGGCATTGGAAAGCTAACTCAAAGCGATACAACTTTCATGTTTTGCACAAGAGCTAGTTCGTCCTCCAGAATCTAGAAAATAGCAGTTGAAGCGGTACCATATGCACAGAAGTTAAAATGCGACTTCATGAATACGTGGCTTGAAGTCGCGTATTCTTCAATTTCAGCTGCAACTTGCTCAGCAACTTGTGTTTTATTCACACAAGCTTTTTGACCCATTGTCTTGCAAGAATATCGGTGGAAACAGCCTAAGATAGCTGCAAAAGAAGCTTTACAGCTCATTTCTAGCTTGTTTATGGGCTCAAGACATGATTCAACACTTTGTCTCTTGCAAGAAGTTCTTCTATACATAAAAACCTTTGGAGGATATTTTCACAACTTTGGAAGACTAGAAAAACTCACAAAAATGTAGCCTTCACTAGAGTTTCCTTAGTTCATTAGTTAGGGTAGTATAGAGTAGTTAGCATAGTTTATCCATCTTGTATTTGTAGTTAAATTTGGATAAAGATTTGAAGAGCAAAGATGGAGAGTTTGAAACTCATGTGACAAGGGTGACTTCTCTCCTATCACTTTCTCTTTGTATTTGATTTCATGTTTAACTATAATACAAGTTTGGTATTTGATTTCATGTTTTGTTAAAGTTTATGTCTAGAGTTATGGTTGAACTTGCTATATCTTGTTAGTGATGTTTACTTGGTTATTTGATGATATTATTTTGAGCAAGTTATTTATCACTTTTGCTTTTCTAATCACGATTAACCGGTCATTAATTATGATAATCTTAAGGTGTTAAGTTTGCAATGAATTGGAATTTAACATTAGTTCAAAGAAGTGATAAATTTAGAGAGTACACTCACGAAAGTAGATGTGCAATTATGTGGCTTTAGTGACTTGTTCATGTAATTTCATAGAAGAAATGAGGTTGTAGTTAATTTCATAACCACGAGAGTAGGTATGGTTTAGTTACAAGTATAGTTGATTCACTACGATAGTAGGTTTCATATATATTAGGAAATTACGCCATAACTAGCCAAGATAATAGTATTCACTTAACCGGTAACTTCATTTGCAGGAGTAGTACGGAATTCCATCCCTCTAGGAGCTTTCTAATATTAATTTTATCACTTTAACTTCATGCTTGTAGTCTAAAAAATAAAGGAGTTTGAAAATCACCAGTAATTGAAAATCTTCTCTGTGGGATCGACACTTAATACCCTATACTCGCTCACAATTCATATAATTGCGATAAATCGCGTGTAGGGTATTTAGGATATTATAAATGTAAAACTTGATTGTAGATGAAGTAATTGTATATGTATACCCCACACACGTCATTATTACATCTCTATACTATAGTATACATCAAATTTAAGGCATTGTTAATCCAGGTCCTAAGTGCGACCCGCTGCTCAATGAATTAGTATATTAACTCGGCCCCACATTCTCTTTCACTGGACCAAAACTTGTTGCGTGCTGGGTTTTGGGCCGGCGCTCTCTGCGTTCCGCTCCAACAAACATCTGGTTTTCAAATTTGGGTCACGCTTCCAACTGACATAAAATATTTCTGTCTTTATATGGAAATGGGGCAGCTTTCTTTATATGGAAATGAGGCAGGGATAGTTGCAGATAACGACAATACCCAAAGGTTGACGCAATGAATCAGTCCAAAAAATATGTAGGTTCAATGTTTTTGGATTCTAAAAATATGGTCGCAAGAGTGAAACTTAAAAGGAGTTGATGGAGATCGCATCTTATATTTTGATTTTAAAACCATACGTGAGATCTACAAAATGTTATTCTATTTTACATGTTATTAAAAATGAATTACAATTTGAATAAATGAGATTATAATCTGTGTCATGAACAAAAACCGGTCCAAACGGTTTGTCTGACAACAATTGGAGCCGTGGTCCTCTCAGTAACTTGCCAGCTTTCTTCGTACTTAAATAGCTCTTTGCTGGTGTATAATTTATGCTGTTGTGCGTACTATTCGTTCACTCTATTAATGCAACGGCTGCGCTAATGAAATGCCCTAGAAATGGCGTATACTCTACGAAACTAAGTTCGTACAAGAAGTACTACTAAACTAAGTTCGTCGCAGCCTGCATATTAAACTAAGTTTGTAGCAGCCAGCATATTGACCAAACTTATCACGTACTGATCTAGCTCACAAGATCTTTTCTCTACCTCTCAAGACTAGTATATAAGTACACGAATAAGACACCTCAAAAGGGAAACAAAAATGGCTGCTTTCAATAGATTTCTAGTTGGCCTTGTCATAGTATTCTTGGTTTCTTCTCCCTCTTCCTCTGCATTACACTTTCTGTTGATTCATGGTAGCGGTCATGGAGCATGGTGTTGGTATAAGCTGGCGACTTTGCTGGAGCAAAAGGGCCACAATGTCACGGCTTTGGATTTAGCTTATTCTGGGAGAAATCAAGTGCCACTCGAAAGAGTGCACACCTTTGATGAATACCATAAACCTCTATCCGAATACATGAAGTCTTTATCTCCTGAGGATAAGGTAGTCCTCGTTGGCCACAGCTATGGTGGTTATGGTGTTTCCTGGGTCATGGAAAGGTTTCCAGAAAAGGTTCTTGGTGGCGTTTTTGCTTCAGCCTTCATGGTCGGGCCTAACTTTACACTAGAGGACACCAACAAGGTATTTGTTTATTATATAGGTCATCGTTAAAGCTAATTTATTTTAGGCTTGATTTAGATCGAAAAATTTGATGAAAAAGTTAAAATTCACCCGAACCAGTCACTCAAGTTATTTGAATTTTTTAAGAGACATTTTTGCTTTTAATTAACTAATTATATTAATAAATTTTAAACATAAGAATATTTGATAATTTTTAAATTCAAATACCTTCGACAAAATCTAAACAATGATTGGAATTTGAGAAAAATTAAAATTATTCATCAAATCCCTCGTTCCAAATACAAGAATTCTTTATTCAGAATTTTCTTTCATCAAACTCCAAATAATTTGTGTTTCTCTGAGGTATTATTTCTATTGTTTGTCGCTGCCTCGTGCTATTTTTTGCATTAGCTTCATATGATCTCCAACAGTCACCCGCATAAGTTCGTTGATTGATTAAAACCTTTGGTGTGTTTCTAGATTCATGCATTTCAATTCTTGTTTTTGACTACTATTGTTTTGTGCTTTGCTCTAGCTCCTTCCACGGCCAGATCAACTAGATGACAGTTTCGTTATTGGAGATCCTATAAGAATTGTGCTCATTGGGCCCCACTTTGCAGCAACCCTGCTCTACCAGAATTCGCCGCCAGAGGTAACTAAGTCAATATTCAACCATACATGATGGAACTAATATGGCAATCTTGACGTTGCATTCAAGGATACGAAGTGAAAATAATCTTTTTATCCAATGAAAATGCTAAACTTTGCAAAGGGAAAGGAAAAAGGGATGTCTAGAAAGTTGCATTCGAAAAATAATTATCCAAACAAAAAAAAAAAAAAAGGCAAAGCAAAGCCAAAAAAAAAAAAAGAAAGTGTTGCTCATTCGACGTCTAGTTAATTAGATGTACCTTTTGGAATTAATGAGAAGTGAAGGAGGGGAAAATGATTAGAAAAGAAAAGGGAATCCTTCTAAGAAGTCAACTAGCATATCAGGGAACTCTAGGACGAAGTCATTTATGGAATCTCAATTTCCTTTTTTAGCCTTATTATATGAATTTCACAATTGCAAAACATAAGGTTTAGATAAATAAGTTATTTTCAAAACAACTATTTACCTTTGAGAAAATAATGAGATATAATTTTTCTAACTTTTATTCCTCATTGGTTTATTAGACAAAGAATGTATTTATCATACTAGGGAAAATGTGTGGATTGAAGGTATTGGTTATTGTTGAAAAAAATAAAGAGAAAGAAAAGAAGAAGCAATTTGTTATTAGTCACAGCTTGTGCTAAAGTAAAAGAAACGAAAATAGGATCATGCTCCAAAGAAGTCGTATCATCACGTTCTAATTGGCTTTAAATTTTTTAATATTCAAAAGCTCCTTCAAGCATTTTTCCTTTGGCTTCTTTATGAAACTTGAAGGAATTGGATATATATGTAGTTACGCTAAGAAATTTGCATGTATGTGCTTTTGAAAATACTTTCTGCTTGGAAGTCAACAAAACCCTTTCCGCTTAGCAAATAGTTCACCAAGCACAAGAAGAAGCACAGCATACAAATATGCATTTTAATGTTGAGAAATAACAAGTAACATTACCTTTTATTTTAAGAATCTGCACTAAATATGTACGGTTTGGTCTATGGGCACCTTTGACTTCAATTTTATATTCTCCTTCCACTGCAATTTTATATTCTCCTTCAATTTTAATGTCTAATAATTTCAACAGGATCTGAAACTTGCAAATTATTCTCTAAGATTAGCTCAGTTCTTCTATGGAGATGTGGCAAATAGACAAATTCGGGTTAAAAGAACGGTATGGATCAGTTCCTCGAGCCTATGTTATTGACTTGGAGGATAAGCTAATTACTCCTGAAGCACAAAGGCTTATGATAGCGAGGACTCCTCCACAAGTGGTGAGGCGAATCCGGGGGGCAGACCATATGGTTCAGTTTTCTAAACTCGAGAATTTGCCGACAATTTGATTGAAATAGGTGGGTTGTTTGAGTCGTTTGGTCAGGAGGGCAAACCATAAGCTTTCTAAATCTCAAGAATGTGCTTGAAATAGCTGAGTTGTGTGTGTGCTTATATACTTGGTCGATTTGTGCTGTATTATTGTTTAGTGTGTACCACACATTGTATTGATGTGAAATAAGTGCATAAACCTTGTATTGAAATAAATGCTCAGTCTTGTTGGAGGTTAGGTATATGTCCCCCTCCTAATTTCAAATTTATTAATAAATATAGGGCTGACATCTGAAAACCATTTGGGTATTTCGTTGGATGCTATTGCCGAATGTTTGGGAATTTTTCGGCCGGAGGTTGAAGACAAAGGGGTTGGGTAATGAAGAAAAGGGCCATCTTATTCACAAACTAGGGTTCACGCTCCATCTCAGAAACCTGTTCGATCACCTTTCTATGACTTTTTCATGTTTTTGTCTATTTGTTGGTTGGATCGGTGGTCAACCCACACGGACAGGCCAAAACACCCTTCCAATGAGCCTCCAGTTGTGGTCAAATTTAATTTTCTTGGCTGCTCCACCATTTAGGGACCAATTTGGCCCAAAAAATTTTATTGAAAGACTATAATATCTCTCATCTTTAAAATGGAGAACCACAGCTGAATTAGTAAATAACTTGAAAGATGATTTAGGGGATTTGCTCTAAAACAATACATGACTTTGGCATCAAATAAGCGCTTGTTTTGCATGTTTGTGTGTGGTTATTTATGTGTATTTTAGTGTATTTTCATTCAAGTTCAAGTCGAATAACTAGATTTTTTTGTTAAGTTTTGCATTTTGTAGTTAAGTGCTAAAATTTCATTTTTTTTATAGGTTTTGACAATTCAATCATCAATTGAAGGGAAGTCAGAAGATACTTGCATGATTGTTAATGATTTGAAGTGGAAATCATGTGACATGAAGGACCAAAGGATGAAATGCAAGCAAGAAACAAGAAGAAAAGCATTGATAGCAAAGATATATTTTGGTACATTGGCCATAACTTAGTCCCCAGACCTCAAAATGACTTGATTCTTGGGCCATTGGAAAACTATCTCAAAGAACTACAACTTTTCATGTTTTGCACAAGATCTAATTCAGCCTTATTTATAGCAAAATTTCCATATCAATCTGGGCCTAGATTCCTGGATGGATTGCAAGCCAGGAGTAGAAGACTGATGAAGAACAAAGGAAAATGAACGATCCGCAGATAGATATCCATGGACACCGTGTCTGCGGATCCACTTTGGAAGTGTTTTTCCTGCAATTTTTTTAGCAAAAATAGGGGAGCAATCCAGCTAACAGTCCGTGCGCGGATTGTCGGCCAGATTAGGGTCAGAAAAGTAGCACAACTTATGCAACTTGCGCAATAATTGAACCTTTCCTTTTCCCTATAACGGGACTTCTGTTGGATTATTTTTGCAGAGAAAAAGGAGGGGGGAGGGGGAGAAAAACACCATCAAAATGTAGATCTAAAGCTAGAAATCCTTCATTTTCTTAGTCTAGATTAGATTAGTGTAAGATTAATTTAGAATTAGTGGATTGTTCTTCAATTCTTGTATTAGCTCAATAAGGAAGCAAAGGGAGATGAAATTGGAGAAGTTGAGCTCTAGTGACAAGGGTCTGATCTCGCCTAACACTTTAACTCTTGTATTTGATTTCTTTGTTAGTTTTAATACAAGATTGGATTGTATTTTTATTTGCTTTATGTTTTGTTAAAGTTTCTTGCCTTGGATTGGATGAACTTGCTATGATTTGTTTCTGAGATTTGCTTAGGAGGTTGATGCTATCACTTTGAATTAGTTATTTAACACTTTTATTCTTACAATCATGATTAACTGGGCATTAGTTATGATTACTTGAAGATATTGGATTATCAATAAAAGTTGTAATTCATTGTTAGTTTAAGGAAGTGCTAAACTTTTGAAATACACTCATGAAAGTAGAGGTGTGCCTTTGTGGCTTGTTTTACAATAATTTCATAGAAGTTCATGAACTTGTAACTAATTTCATAATAGCGAGAGTAGGCATGAATTTGTTACAGATATAATTGATTCGCTACGAGAATAGGTTTTACATGGACAAGAAAATTACGCCATAGCTAACTGAGGTAGTAGTGTTCAATTACCCAAGTAATATTGCTAGCAAAGAGTGGTTAGGAATTCCATTCCCTAGGAGTTTTATATTGTTGATTTTCTTTGTTTTTATTATATATTTGTAGTTTACATTAACTTTCTCATATTAGTGAGTATTTAAATAATAAAGGAGTTCGAATAGCATCAATAATTGATCACTTTTCTCCGTGGGATCGATCCTTAATACCCTAAATTTAAACATGATCTATATACTTGCAGTTGTGTGTGGGGTATTTAGAAATTTACAAATTTCAAACTTGAGCACTACAACAAAAATGACCTTTAACGGCATTTAAAAGTGTCAGTATAGATAATCTAACCCGACACTTTACCTTTCCTCACACCTCGGACAAGTGTCGTCTCTTCCAATGTGGGGATAGGTTCGTACTATTCAAATGTGTCAGGAAAATTATGCTGTTATAGCATCCCATTTGCCAACAAAAATTGCTTTTCTGATAATCGAAAGTGTCAGGATAACCGTAATCAATAACAAGTAGGAGTTTTTTAAACTAAACTATGCTGACACTTTTAACTGCCAAGAGTTTTTTTTTTCTTTTTTTTTTTTGATATAGAAGCAACCTACAGGTTGTACTCCTTGCAATACATTCCGTCAATCAGAAACCTAAAGGACTTGTAAAATTATCCCAAAGAACAGAATGCATATAGTAATCCAAAAGCAAAAGTCAATAGTTAAATATAATTTATTGAATTAAAAGCCAATAACAAGTACTAACATAGCAAATCCCTAACAAATACAAACTTGAAAGATTCTCTTGTGCACAAATTAAAAGATTCTCATCCCTAACAAGTAGAAAGAACTTGCAGTAGCTTCCAAACTTTCCAATAAAATGAGAGCCTTCCGGCATAACCACGAATACCCCATCAATCTTCAATTGGTTCCACCTATGTACAAAGTTTGTTGGGATCATTAGATCATCGTAGCTAGCAATAAAATTCTAGAAAAGCCACAATATAAGTAAGTGCATATATTACCAAATGACAAGGCCAAGCAATTGGTGCACCAAGTGCATCTTGAATTGTTTGTTGCAAATCATACGGTCTAATCAATTGCTCACTTGGACTTATTGCAGTAATCAAGTACTTACAAGTTCTACTTGTCTGTCAGCTAGGAATGTGATAAAAAGTGCAGAATTTTCCAGCCCGGAATAAATAGAGGGAACCTAACATCCCATGCATCAGGGATAGATCCAGGAATTGTCTAGATTATAAGGGACCTAAAATAAATGATTGTCTAGATTAGAAGGGACCTAAAAAAAATGAAGGTTGATTTGACAAGTAGATACTGTACGAAGATTCAGCAGGGCCTCCTTCAAGGGTAAGATAAGGATTCTTGCCTCTTTATGCTATCTTTGGTACTGAGATACATCACATAAAACAAGGAGGTAAATAGAAATTTTCTACCCACCTTTTATTTCTCAGCTGGAATACTTCTAATACAGAAAAGGCAATTCTGAAATGTCCTTATACTATGACGTAACCTATGAACCATATCCAAGCAAAATATTTCTACGATCAGGTGATTTTAAGGTTGCTTTCAGAGATAAATAATCTATAGCTCACAAAAGAGTGAATAAGAGTGGCATTGCCATTTTTTTCCCATGTTGTCAGCAATGAACTCTCAGCTATTCTTCTTTTATCTTCCTGCAGCTATCACAGAAGAGTTTAGTTAACGTATAAAGAAGATAATAGATTCATTATGTTCAGAAAAGCACGTGGATGGCTTTCTCTTTTCAATGTGAGACCTGAGAATTTGTGGAAGTCTTTCATGTCAGTCCAGAGTTCAAAAGTTTGTCCCCTTGCTTAAGTAGAAGGTCAAATTGCTTTTTTGGCAGTCTACTTTTGAAATCAGCTGATCGTCAAGATAAAAGCCTAACTGACAAGTGTTAAGGTCTTATTAAACTGGCAACTAATGTAGTCACATATGAAGCTATTACTCGTATTTTCCATTCCATCACTATAATGAGACTTCAGCATTTACGTCCCAAACTAAAGCTCCTTATTTCCCCAGATTGGATATAGGTTAGACTGATTAGGCACTACTTGCAAGGAATTCATACTAATAAAACACTAGAAAAGATACTTCATTGTGGAGAAAGTGCACTTCTTTTGTCTCATTAACTAAGGTATTCAAACAGAATTACAGCTTTCTGTTTTGGTGTAAAGACAAAATAGTTAAACCCAAAATGTTCAAGAAACTAAGATGAGATATTTCTAGGACAGAACAACATCTAAGTCCTTCACTTGTTCTGTCACTAAACCAACAACATAACCATAATCATATTCCAACAAGGAGACTGCATTTTTTCATAGATTAATCAGAAGATAACAAAATTTGAAATACAGTAAAAAACAACGGAACATGTGTATCTACCAACTTATAAAGCAATGATCATAATACTTGCACATTAAAAAAAAATTACAAGTTCAGCTCAACTTATCACCTTCGAGTTAACAAGGAACCATACACTTATCAGCAACAGAGTCTTATGTGAGTATATATATTGACACAATTCGTTTACTCATCCTAGATTGATTAAATTGACGACTATATGAGTTATTTCAAGATACAGTAGAACATAGCAGTAAACATTCATTGTTGCACAAAATCAAAATGATCTCCATGCCAAAGTAGCCAGTAGAATGAGAATACTGGCTTCTAAATAGGGATTTATTTCTTGTGTTATTGTCAAAGCTACAAATTAGTGTAGTATCAATACTAGAAAATGAGTTTCTTTTCACTAAATTTCTATTGGTGTATATGTTATTGAGTAAATTAATATCAGTACCAAAGAAAAGAAGGTTGACATTTTATCGAACAGGTTATGGACAACAAATCCATAAAGCTGAACACGTACGAAAGACGAGAAAAATCGCGTAGCTGTGTGTATTATTACCTTGGCTTGGAGGACGACGACCTTATATCAGCAATATTTACAGTAGCAGGAAGAAGGACAAAAAGAGCAAAGTAATTTAACAGGGGAAATTTTGACCTTACCCTGAAGCTTCATGTCCCAGAATTCAACCATACACTCTTTGAGCTTCATTCTTTTTTGATTCCCAGGATTGACGATGGAAACGTACATGTCAGATCAGATGGCGGCCAATACC